AAAAACAAGTAAGAAGCAAAGAAACCCCCCCCCCCCCCAGGCAGGATGGCCACACCGCAATCCCTTCTCCTCCATTCTCCTCTCAGGATCTTGGGCATGCATGCACACACGCCCAGCGTGAGTTTAAGCCACCGGGTTGGGGACTCGAACCGCGGTCGACTACGTGGGAGTCCAGCGACATAGCCATTATGCTAACTGCTGGTCCCCCCAATTTACAGTTTTTAATCTCTATTCTCTTTTCATTGCATTATTCTGGCAGAGCCCCAACCCTGGATCAACGCCACCTTCTACCTTCTGCCTGCCTGTGTCTAAGCAACTATCATGGTGGAACGGTCACATGACAGTAACGACTCGTATCATTGGAACCACCAAGAGGCTCTCGATGCTATGTGGCAGCCCAACTCTATTTCTCTGACCACCATGTTCTCACACTCTACAACTGCCTCAACCTTTTCTGGCCTCCTCAAACTTAGGGGATCTCCTTTCAGAGCCCCCTTTCAGCATGTGAACTCTCCTCCTGCCTTCCCAGTCACTGAGTGGGAACCCTTCATTCTCCTGATACCAGACTCAGACTCACTGCTACCCCCTGCATCCTCTCTCCTCCCAGGTCCAACCGCCCCAGCCCAGTCCCAGGTCCTCCCCTCCCGCCTTCTTGGGAACCGTCCTTGGTCTATGAACCTGCACCTCTCTCCTGTAGTCAACCTCTTTCTTGCGACTGGATGGAGCCTTACATTGATATTAAACACATCCAAATTTCTCTGTAAAAACAAAACAAAGCAACCCAAAGCCATCATCTACCATTGCTCTACCGTCACGGTCAAGCTCTTGAGAAAAAGGATAACAACCGCCATTCCTCACCTCCCACTCACTCCAGAAACCACTGCTCCCGGCAGTGGAGCCACGGAGATATCGATAGCTCCCTGGGACCTCCGTGTTCGCTAAGTCCAGTCTCCAGCTCCATTGCACCCCGCTGGCCCTCCCTCAACTCTGGGACAGTGCCTTGTCCCACTTTCCTCCTCTCTCTGACTTCCTGGCACGCTCCCCCACCACACGCCAGGTCTTTTCTTGGCTTGTTTTTGGCTCTCTCCTATGAAGCTCCATCCAAGAGCCACCTTTGTGAAGATGGCACACGCTTCGACACCTCATTCAGGCATCTCGTCAGAGCTGCGGACTAGTGCAATGGCCCCTGCTCTGGACGCCTCAAACTGAAGCGCATGCTCTTCCCTTGTTTGAGGGGAGCCTTCCCTGGTCAGGCCAAGACTACTTTTATAGCCTCGTACTCATAAGAATATCTTTTATTTTCCTTTTTTTTTAAAAAAAGAATTATTTATTTAACCTTATTTATAATTATTATTATTTTAGAGTTGAACAGAGAAAGAGAGCAAGGGAAAGCAAGAAAGCAAGTCGACAGGTCTGGGACTTGAACTGCTGTAGGCCATGTGGGAGTCCAGTGTCCTAACCACCATGCCACCTGCTGGCCCCAAGAATATATTTTCTTTATAGCATTTATCCCAGTTACCAGATCAAATACAAGATGCCCAGTTAAATTCAAATTTCAGATAAATAGGTTTGTCCCATGGAATTTTTGGATTTTTGCCAAAATATGTTTCAAAAATTAAAACATTTATATTTACTTATTTCATTGACAGAGAGCATTCCCCAAAGATGATAGATAGATGATAGCTAGATAGAAAGAAAAAGAGGGAGAAAGAGAGAGAAAGCACCCACAATGGGGTTGGTCATGCTGCAATAGTTTTTCCTCCACTTCTTCATCCTGTCAGGATTCAGGGCACGCATGCACCATGCCCAACATGTTGTTCAAGCTGCCAGGGCTGGGATTCAAACCAGGTCGGTCATGTAGAATCTGTTTTTAGGTTGTTCTTTTTTTTTTTTTTTTTTGCTAGAGGGCACAAGTACTAGCTGGACAGAGACAGAGGGAGTGAGAAATCCCCCCCACAGGGGTAGCCATGCCATAGTCCCTTGTCCTCCAGTTCCTCTCAGTATTTTGGGCACCCACACATGAAAATGCCAGTGTGATTTTCAAGCTTCTGGATCTGAGACTAGAACCAGAGTCAGCTATGTGAGGTCCAGCACCTTCACTATTATGCCACCTGGTGACCCCTGGGATCTGCTTTTCTTTTCTTCTGTTTTTAATGTTCTTTAAAAAAAATATTTTATTGAACCTCATTTATTTACTTTATTTTATTTATTTATTTATTTTCTTTTTTGAGAGGTTTTTCGCTATAGGGCACGTGCACTCACCAGACAGACAGAGAGAGACAGAGAGACAGAAAGCGAGAAATCACCCCCCAGGGGGGATGGCCACGCTAAAATCCCTTCTCCTCCATTCTCCTCTCGGGATCTTGGGCACACACGCACACGCGCCCAGTGTGAGTTTAAGCCACCGGGTCTGGGACTCAAACCGTGGTTGACTATGTGGGAGTCCAGCGACATAGCCATTACGCTAACTGCTGGTCCCTATTTTTCTTTTTTTAAAATTTGATCAGAGAGGGACAGAGAGAGAGAAAGGAGAAAGCAAGCTGCCAGGTCCGGGACTCGAATCGTGGTTGATGTGGGAGTCCAGCGCCCTCAACCCCCACGCCACCTGCCAGCCACCCCCCTTTTTTATTAAAGATTTTATTTATTTAATTGTACTTATTATTATTATTTATCTTTCTAATTTGACAAGAGGGAGACACAGAGAGAGAGAAGAAAAGTGAGCAGGAAAGTGGGAAAGCAAACCACCAGGTCCAGGACTCGAACCATGGTCGACCATGTGGGAGTCCAGTGCCCCAACCACCACACCACCTGCCAGTCCCATGGGATCTGCTTTTCTATTCACAGCATTTAACCACTGTGCTATGGGGCTCATTCCAGAGAGTATTCTTCGTTTATGTGAAATTCAGAGTTAACTGGACGTCCTGTCTTTCTAGTTGCTAAATCTGGCAGCCTTATTCTGGTTGCAGTTTCACATTTATATCACTGGTGATTAGTGCCTTTTATCCCACCCGACTGTCAGCAAATGATATAATTTTGTTCATTGTTGTAGCTTCAGCACCCGGGACAAGGCTGGGGTGCAGATGTTCATTCCATGAATAACTGGCTGGGGAACTGGGAAGGCAGTTCATCTCTGCAGCCCCAGAACCTGTAATCCATTCTGGGAGCATAAACAGTTGGCCAATAACTGAGAAGGAACTAGGAGGAGGGAGCTGATGGTGGAGGAAGAGGAGGAGGGGAGAGGGCATCCCAGGGGCACTGATAAGGGGAGGTGGGGGAAGGCTGGTACCTTGAGCGTGTGGCAGGCCTTGATGGTGGCAGCCAAGGAATGGCAGTCCCGGTAGGTGAAGAGGAAGAGGTTCCACTCGAAGTTCATGCCACAGTCCTTGACCCCGTACACAAGGTCCAGCTCTTCCAAGTAGTTCAGGCCTGCCACCAGGTCACCCAGTTGGTAGTGATCCATGGCAGGTTCCTCCATGTCCCCCTCGCTGCCGGAGTCCGACTGCTCCCCGGTGCGGGGCGGGGGCGGTAGCCGCACCGGCGGGGGGCCGGACCCGGCCGGCGCCGGGGGGGGGGGGGGGGGCGGTAGCCGCACCGGCGGGAGGAACTGATCCACCTGGATCCTGCGCACGTAGTTTCTGCAGAGTGGCAGCAGGTCCAGGATCATGGCGGGGTCCGTGGTTCCGGGGATGAAGTGCTTTAGCAGGTTCTCCAGGTGTCGCTCGAAGAACATGCGTTTCCAGCTGCCCCCGTGCTTGGCCACGTGGCACACGGGCCAGCGCCGTGTGCAGCAGCGGCGCCAGTAGTTCTCATGGTCGATGAGGTTGGCGGTCACCGTCAGCGGCAGGTCAGGGGACAGGTGTTCCAGGACCTTCTGCTGGTGCTCCGGGAGCAGCTGCTTCAGGAGAGGGTTGTCTTTGGGAACAGAAGGGGAAAGTAGGGATTTTGGTGTTGGGGACACCAGTGCACTAGCCCTGGGCTGGGTCTGCCCCGGGGCAGTAAGGAAAGGGAAAGACGCCTCGTGCCCTCAGGGAGTTCCAGTCTGACAGAGAGCCTGCTCTGCTCTCAGGGAGGCTCAGAGTGGCTTTGGGGTGGACATCCCAGCAGGCGGCTGAGTGGTACTGGATGCCTCACTGAGGCAGGAGCTCAGGCCCAGCCCTCCCTTATCCTCTAGTCGGGTGGAGGAGACAATCCCTGCCTTCCGAGGCTCCCAATCTGATCTGATTCATTCATTTCCAAACAAAATTTGTTTTCTTCTTCTGGGTCCCACTGTGCGCCAGTCGCCCTTCTGAGTGCTGGAGATGTGAAGCGGAAGTCATCCAAAACAGAGTACATCCCTCCCTGAGGGAGCGGACATTCTAGTGAGGGGAGGCAGGCGGTAGACAAGTCAGACCACAGTGTACTAAGTCACGTGGGGACGCCTGCTGGGGGCAACACGTGGGCCTGTCCTCAAAGCGCTCTGGCTCTAGCAGGAGAGGCAAGCAGCTGGTTTTGGGAAAGAATTACTATTCAAGAGTAGGGGCCAGCAGTTGGCATGGTGGTTATGGCACTGGACTTCCACATGGGCAACTGCAGTTTGAGCCCCAAACCCAATGGCTTGAAAATCATGCAGAGAGAGCGTGTGTGTGTGTGTGTGTGTGTCCATGCCCAATCCTGAGCACAGAATGGAGGAGAAAGAATTGTGGTGTGGCCATGCCCCATGGTGGTGATTTCTCACTTTCCCTCTCTCTGTCTCTGGCAAGGGCATGCCCTAGTGAGTGCACTCACTCTATGCAAAAAAAAAAAAAGAAAAAAATTACAGAGTGTAGAGTATAGAACCAACCAAGAACTCGTACCTGGCATGGAAGACCATCAGAGGTTGGGCGGGTAGGAAGATGGCATGGGAGAGGACAGGGTTGCTCTAGGACCCAGCTGCTGAGGCCTCAGCTCCTGGCAGTCCCCTCACTACCCCCCTCCTGACTTTATCCTTCCCAACCAAAGCAGGGACACACTCACTCTGGAAGTTCTTCACAATGTGCTGAATGCAGAGCTCCGTGAGGAGCGGCACGATGGCCAGTGACCACTCCGCATCCTCAGCAATAATCCGGCGCATCCGACGGATATTGGGCCCAGAGTTTGGGTTCTTGGACTTCTCCGCGGCTAAGGGCTTTGAGGGCTGTAGGCCCGTGCCTGAACCCTGGGCTGTAGGGAAGGCCCATTCTTGGTTGGAGGTTGAGGACAGCAGATTGAGGTTGTCCATGCTGGAGCTGGTATAGGCAGGTGGCCCGTAGTGACCCTGACTCAGGAAGCTTCTCTGACTCACTGGTCCTTGATGCAAGGGTCCTGGAGCATAAGGAAGAGTGACGACGTTACCTCGGAGGAACTCGGTGGGCATTCACCAAGGGGTGTGCTTGAAGGTCAATGTCCGGAGTGGAGCAGGTCCAGGTGCAAATCCCACTGACCAGTCATGTGACTTTGGACGAGTCCCTGAACCTCTCTGATTTCAAATGCTACCTCTGTGAAGTAGGGGCGACGGTTATCACTAGGATTATTTGGAAAAGTGAATAAAATAAGTCCTGCAAAGGAGCATTGGTGTATGTCTGACACGTGAAATGGTGGCAGGAGGTATCCAACAATTTTAGGGAAGAATAGCTACACAGCGACTACAGTCATTGTAGGCCAGACACTCTTAGTTCTTTATGCATGGAAACTCAATTATCCTCACAAAAGCCTTTTTAGAGATAACTGCTCATATTATTCCCATTTTTCAGATGGGCACTTGGAGCACAGAGAGTTTAAGTAACTTGCCCAGTGTCACCAGCTTATAAATAACAAGGATGGACTTAAACTTGTCTACCAAGTTCATACCTGAACCCTACATCATACTGTCCCCCTGAAGGTCAGGAGAGAGACTGTGTGTGGCCAAAGGCTCAAGGTATAATAAAGAACCATTTAGGTCACGACAGTTCCCTGTGCAGAGTATTTTACTGAACAATAACTGCTTGACCTGGAGGATGGGCAAGAGAATAGTACTGATCAAAAGGAAAATACCGAAGACCACAGATGCCATTTTAACATTTCAAGTACCTGTATTAAAAAAGTAGAGAAGGGGACCAGCAGGTGGCGTAGTGGTTAAGGTGCCAGACTCCCACATGGCCAACTAGGGTTCGAGTCCCAGAAGTGGCACCTTGAAACTCATGCCAGACACGTGTGTGAGCACGCCCAAAATCTCCAGAGGAGAATGGAAGAGAAGGGATCATGGCATGGCCATCCCAACTGGTGGGGTGATCTCTCACTTTCTTTCTCTCTTTCTCTCTGCTGAGTGCATACAACCTATAGCAAAAATCTCTCTCTTAGGGACCAGCAGTTAGCATAATGGCTATGTCGCTGGACTCCATGTAGTCGACCGCGGTTTGAGTCCTGGACCCGGTGGCTTAAACTCACGCCGGGCGTGTGTGCGTGCATGCCCAAGAGGAGAATGAAGGAGAAGGGATTGCAGCGTGACCATCCCTCCCTGGGGGGTGATTTCTCGCTTTCTATCTCTCTGTCTCTCTGGCAAGAGTACACGCCCTATAGCAAAAAATAAAAAATAAGAATAAGAATAAAAATAGCCCTATAGCAAAAAATAAAAAATAAGAATAAAAATAAACTCTCAAAAAAAAATCTCTTAAAAAAAAAGTAGAGTGAGGGGCCAGCAGTTGGCATGATAGTTAAGGTACTGGACTCACATGTGGCCAACTGTAGTTCGAGTCCCAGACCTGGTGGCTTAAAAATCATGCTGGCCACATGTGTATGTGTGCTCAAAATCCCAGGAAGAGAGGAAAAGCGTGGAGGGGAAGGGATTGAGGGATGGCTCTCTCCCCCCATGGGGGTTGATTTCTCACTTTCCCTCTCTAGTGCGTACACATGCCCTATGACAAAAACTTTAAAAAGGTAGAGAAAAACAGATTAAATTAATTTTATGTTTAACCCAGCATGTCCAGAATATTATTATTTAAGTATGTAACTATTAAAAATTAAGATATTTGGGGCCAGCTGGTGGTCAGGTGGCTGGATCCCTTTCCCCTGAGGGGTAACTTATCACTTTCTGTCTTTTAATCTCTCTCTAGCAAGCACACACAGTCTTTAACTCAAACTGTATATATACGTGTGTGTGTGTACACACATGTACTAGAAGGTACAGGCACATGAGAGAGAGAGAGGAAGCACCCCCCAACAGGCCCTGGTCATGCTGCAATCCTTTTTCTCCGATTCTCCATCCCATCAGAATCCTGGGCAGATGCAGCATCTCACATGTTTTCATGCTTTTGGGGCCGGGAATTGAACCGTGGTCAGCTATGTGGGATCCAGTTTCCTCTGCACAGTGCTTAACTGCTGTGCCACAGGACTGGCCCATAGTTATGTTCTTAAACCAAGGTCTTTAAGATCCGATGGCTCAATAGGCGTGCTGGGCCTGCGGCTACTGCCTTGGACAGACTGGTTGAGGGAGAAAGGAAAGGGGAATGAAACCCATGCCCTGCCCAGGAGTCAGCCCTTCCCTCTCTCCTCGCCTCGCCTCTGAGAGCTCAAGCTCCAGCGCCCTCCCTTCCCTCTCCCCATCCCGTCTTCCCTCTCTAGTTCTCCCAGCCTCCCAGCATTTCAGACAGCACGGGCAGGCGTGGGAGGCGAGAAGGCAGCTAAATCTGGGCTGAAGACAGAAGACAGAGGATACGTCTAGGTCTGGGGACACCTCCCCCACATCTGCTCCTCCCTGCCCCCTTGCTGTTGGTCCCTGCCCTGGGACCTTAGGTAGAGATGGGGCTCCCCAGCACTCAGCTCCTCCTCCAGGCACTTTGCCCTCAGATTTGCACCCTGACTCTGGTGTGCTGTGTGGTGGCCTGAGGGAAGGAACACTCTGAACCAGCAAAGGCGTCCTTGGCAGAGGGAGGGACCAGATGGTGCTCCTAGCATGCCAAGCATCTCAAGAAGGAAAAGCCTGGCTAAGGCGGGGGCTGGGGGAGGTGAGGGGCAGTGTAGGGGAGATATCTATATATTGTGACACCCCTTATGCAAATCAAACACACATTCACAGATTGTACCCAGAATTGTGGGGTAACCAGCTCCTGCTTTTTGCCACAGCCTCTCGGAGGGTGGGGCTGGAAGGGGCTGCTGCTTAGAGACACCTGCCGACCTTCCGGCTGTGCCAGCTACTCACTGTGTGACCAAGGACTTAACCCACTGAGTTTCAGTTTCCTTATCTATAAAACAGGACAATGATATCTTCCTATCCGGGCTGCTGTGGAGGTTCTTCTGAGATATTTTAAGTTTGACAATATTTGAAAAAGGCACTGGAAGGGTGTGTGTAGGGTGAGGGTATTATGAAAGGCACGGGTCTTAGGCTGGGGAGACCATACCCTGGAGACCTGCTGCTTCTTCATCTCTCTCTCTCTCTTTTAACCACTTTATTGCCAGAGGGTGCATGTGCGAGAGAGAGAGAGAGAGATCATGCCCTCGTAGGGTGTACTCATGCTGTGATCCTCTTCCTCCATTCTGGCAGGATTTGGAGCGTGCATGCACAGGCACTTGGTGTGTTTTCCAAGAAGCTGGAGCTATGATTTAAACTGTAGTCGGCCATGTAGGATCCGGCTACCTTAACCACTACACTGTGGGGATTTTTTTTTTTTTTTTTTTTAAAAAATAGACAGTGTGTGAGAGAGAAGAGAGACACCCTGGACAGGGTTCTGTCTCCCACTCCCCAGAGCTTAGATGCCTGTGCCTGTGTGTTTTCAGCCTACCTGGGACCTGAACCTGAGGGTGGCCATGTGACTTCCAGCCTTGCAGGGCACTTGTACTGCCACTGTGCCACAACAGCTGGGACAGACCTGCTTCTTGAGGGTTGACCGGAGGCAGTGTCTGTGGTGAGTGCAAGATTTCTGAGGCCTCCCTACTGCCAGGGTCGATGCCAAGGTGAAAGGCGAAGTGGCAGGGACTGAGTTGGGGGCTGGATAGGCAGCAGAACGGAGATAATGGGAGGGGGGTTCAGAGGCAACAGGTCAGCCTTCATCTGGGCTCCCAGCTTCTGCCAAGGTCCTCATCTAAAACATTGTTATTCCCCTTTGTTTCCCCTTTGTCCCAGGAGGGTCCCAGGACACCTGTGAGCCACACCTAGGAGATCCGGACCAGGCTTGACAAGGAGAGCCCCAGGTTACTGGTGAGCATTGTCATGGGTTGGCTTTTTTTTTTTTTTAAGATATTTTTGCCACAGGGCATGTGCTCTCCCAGACAGAGATAGATGGAAAGTGAGAAATCACCCTCTGGAAAGATGGCCCCACTGCCATCCCTTTTCCTGCAGTCTTACGGGATTTTGGGCATGCATGCACATGCACCTGGTACACCACATAGCTGGCCGTGTATTAATAGGATCCAACACCTTAGGCTCCACACCATTCGCTAAACCATGGGGTTGGCTTTTCAAGAGACAGAGAGGGAGCGGAAGTGAGAAATCACCTCCCAGGGAGACGATCAGGCCTCAATCCCTTCTCTATTCTCTCAGGATTTTGAGCATACACGCACATGTGCCCAATGTGATTTTCAAGCCACCAGGTTTAGGACTTGAACTGCACAGTTGGCCGTGTGGGATCCAGTGCCTTAACCTTCCCATCAAAGGCTGGCCCGAGTTGGTTCTTTGGGCATTACTCATACTACCACCCAGCCTCACTGTCCTGGGAGGCAGACTGTTCTTCCTCCTGCAAGGCCACACCCTGGACAATCCCATCTGGGGCCATGTAGGATGCCTTCTGGGGTAGGGTGGCCCTCACTGTCTTAGGACTTGGCAGTTCTTCCTAAAATCTGGTCCTAATTGCTCTTGCTACTGCTTCAGACCTGCAGCCTGCCTCTAGGCATGACAGGACCCATCAAGGGGGCACTTTCCAGGGCCCTGAGTCAGCTCCTCAGAAGGAAGGGGCAGGGTCTGGCTCCATACGGCTGCCATGTGCATGGCTATATAAAAAAAGAATCCCTCCCACCTTTCGATTTTACAGAAACATCCGTACCAGGAGATCCGATGTCATTTTTTTTTTGGAGAGGTTATTTGCCATAGGGTGCGTGCACTCGCCAGACAGACAGAGAGAGACAGAGAGACAGAAAGTGAGAAATCACCCCCCCAGGGGGGATGGCCACATCACAATCCCTTCTTCTCCATTCTCCTCTCGGGATCTTGGGCACGCACGCACACGTGCCCGACGTGAGTTTAAGCCACTGGGTCCAGGATGCGAACCGCGGTCGACTACATGGGAGTCCAGCCACATAGCCATTACACCAACTGCTGGTCCCATGATGTCCTATTTTTTAAGGCAAATGTTGAA